CAACCCCCCGCCCTCGATGCCTTCCCCCAGTCCCCGTCCACATCCATGGCGTGCAACCCTCGTCCACGTCCACGTTCGCTCGGCACGCTTCCACCTGGAATCTTATTTCCAACCGCGCAGCACCGCACAGTGGCGGACGCCACGTGACGAGGCGGATGCTTTGCGACAACGGGAGCAGAGAGCGTGCGACGTACATAACTTTGTAACTTCGCGCATTCAGACCTCGCCTTCCCCGCGCACCGAGAAAAACGCTACTTTGGCGCAAAGAAATTTCCTATCATGAAAATTTCGTGCCAGGAACCAAAGTTGTACGTTTGATGCGTGTGACAATAAAAATGAATGTTTTGTCAATTTGACTTAGTTTTGTTGATCCGAAGAAAATATTTATATGTTATTGTTACGAAAGTATTGTTGATTACTTCAAAGTCAGGATTTCTTTCCCAGAAAGATACGGTTTCTGAGTGCTGCTCGAGGCACGTCAGCGAACAAAGACAACAAACTACAAAACATGCCGTAAAGGCTGCTCAGCTCATCGTCCCCGTCCCCGTCTGCACGGTGACCGGTGCGGTGGGGTAGTGGCTGCCCAAACATCCTTGGCACCTTGAGCGGAGTGGAATAGAGAGGGGAGAGGGGGGGGGGGGGCGACGGCCCCTAGCTGTTTGCACACACAGCTGGTGACGATTGTGTTATTATTTGTTTTCTTTGCGCCTTCTCTACACCACTATAACGTCGCAGCAGAATGCGTTCAATGTCCTCGCATTGTTCACGTGCGATTTAATAATTCACCCGGGTGCGACAGGGAGAAGAGAGGGATGGAGGGAGGGTGACGGGATCGCTCACACATAGCGTTTGCTGCACATTCTGAAACGAGTAGGGACCACTTTTTTTGAGCACTCACTGTGTACTGGGGCTGTCAGTTCCGCTCACCCTCGCCGAGCCGCGTAAAGCTGCTGCTGGCTGACGAGTGGATTGCAGGGGGAGTCCTGGAGACGCAGCGCGGGCGACGGACGAAACCTTTCCTCTCGGGATTAAAAGAATTAGCACAGCGGAAATGTGCGAGAGGGGTCTAGGTGGGGGGTAAAA